TATGAGCTTCTAAAACCAGGTGAAACCGTTAATACTGATCGCTACCAACAACGAATAATCAATTTGAACCACGCTTTGATCATGAAACGACCAGAATGGGCCAGACGACACAGCAAAGTAATTTTGCTTCATGATGACGCACCATCAAACACTTCAAAACCAGTTAAAGGCAAGTTAACAGATCTTGCCTGGGAAGTATTAACCCACCCGCCATATTCACCAGACCTTGCTCCTTCAGATTACGTTCTGATCGATGGCACACGCACTTTCTGAGCAGTGCTTCAAAATGTACAAAGAAGTAGAAAATCGGGTCTCTGAATGGTCTGCCTCAAAACAAGAAACATTCTATTGGGACGGTATCCACAAATTACCTGAAAGATGGGGGAGATGTGTAGCTAGCGATGGACATTACTTTGAATAAAGCACTTTTGATGTTTCTCTTGAAATTACTGTGTTTTCTTTGATTACAAAATCTGCATTATTAACCGGTAAATGTCAATCTGCATTTTTAACTGGCATCTGGATATACAAAGAGACATGTGCACCCACTCCCCCACCTTGTATCTTGCCCCCCTCACCCCCTAAACCAGTTGGCTCCTCAGAGCCTGAGCTCTCTGTCAGAAGTCTCCTAAAGCCCTCAGCAAAGCATTTTCCCCACAAAGATAGTTCCCTCTTCCCAAGAGGAATTCTGGGACATATGTTCGGGCAGTATACATCATCATATTTAGTACCACATAGAAAACCTGAGACTTACAAAACATTAAAATCAAATAATCCTAGAAATAAGAATCTTGGAATAATCTGGCTCAAGGAATGCAAGTTTTAAAAACCATGGAGATTTTTAGAATCCCCCGCATTTTACAATTAGAAGGGGCCAAATAGGATCATGGAGTCAACACCTTATTCAATGCAGACATCTCTTCTATAACAACACAGCTGGCAGCTGCTCATACTGCTTACACATACAGACTCTCTGCCTTAACACAGCTCTTTCTCTCTCACCAGGTGATCTATTTGTCCATTGTAGGATTATATCAGCAGCCCATAGAAATGCTTGAGATAAGGAGACTCTTAACTTACTTTCTTTTATACTTGTAATAACACAGGTGGAGTGGGATTTTAGAGCAATGACAGTTGAGACCCAAGAGCTGGGACCTGGGTGGTCCAATGTATGATAATCATAGTGAGCACAGATATGCTTGGGGCAGGGCTTCGGCCAGAGGGTGAGGCTAATGGTGGTGGTTAACATGTTTTTGTTTTTGTTTTTAATCCTCACCCAAGGATATTTTTCCATTGATTTTTAGAGAGAGTGGAAGAGAGAGGAAAAGACAAGGAGAGATATTGACGTGAGAGAAACATTGATTGGTTGCCTCCTGCACATGCCCTGACCAGGGCCCAGGCTAGGAAGGAGCCTGTAACAAAGGTACGTGCCCTTGACTTGAATCGAACCTGGGACCCTTTGGTCTGCACGCCTATGCTCTATCCACTGAGCCAAACCAGCTAGGGCAATGTGTATTAATTGATGAGTTGTATTTTCATTTAGTTCAAAATATTTTTTTAAAAATTTCTCTTGATTTCTTTCTTGACCCTTATGTTATTCAGAAGTGTGTTGTCTAATCTCCCAGTATTTGGGGATTTCTCAGGTAGGTTTCTTTAAAAGATTTCTAGTTTAATTCCAATGTGATCTGAGAGCAGATATTGTATGACTTCTATTCTTTTGGACTTGTGAAAGTTATGTTTTATGGACCAGAATGTGGTCTATCTTGGTGAATATGCCATGTGAGCTTGAGAAGGATGTGTATTCTACTGCTGTTGGATAGGTGGTTGATAGATATCAATTATATTCAGTTGATTAATAGTGCTGTAGAGTTCAACTATATACTTACTGAGTTTTTGCCTGCTAGATCTGTCCATTTCTGACAGGAAGGTGTTTAAGTCTCCAACTATAAGAGTGGATTTATCGACTGTATTTCTCTTTGCAATTCTTTCACATCTTATCACATGTATTTTGATGCTCTGCTGTTAGGCACATACACATGAAAGATCATGTCTTATTGGATTGTTGATCCTTTTTTCATTAAGGGGAATGCCTTTCTTTATTTCTGATAATGTTCCTTTATTTCTGATAACAGTCTGCTCTGGCTGAAATGAATACAAACTACTCCTATTTTCTTGTGATTAGTGTTAGCATAGTATATCTGTCTCCATCTATTACTTTTATTTTTTATCTGTTACTTTTAATCAATATGTGTCTTTATATTTAAAGTGGGTTTCTTTTAGACAACATATAGTTGGGTCTTGTTTTTTGATCTACTCTGACAATCTGTCTTTTAATTGGTATATTTAGACCATTAACATTAAAGTGATTACATGATAAAGTTGGATAAGTGTCTATCATATTTGTTACTATTTTTTTATTCATTGTCCTTTCTTTGTTCTTATTTTTGTCTTCCACTCTTTTTCTGCCTGATGTGGTTTTAGTTGAACATTTTATGATTCCACTTTCTCCCCTTTCTTAACTTATCAATTATACTCCTTTTTCAACTTTTTTAAATGATTGCCCTAGAGTTTGCAATATACATTTACCATCAACCCAAGTCCACTTTCAACTAAACTATTCTGCTTTACAGTGCAAGTACCTTATAATAACTAATATTTCTGATTCTTCCTTCCTGTCCCTTATATCATTGCTGTCATTCATTTCGCTTATACATGAGTTGTAATCATCAAATACATTGTTGCCATTATTTTAAACAAACCTATCTGTTAAGATCAATTAAGAAGAAAAACTTAAATATGTTATTTTCCCTTCACCTATTTCTTCTTTGATTCTCTTCCCTTTGCAACGCAGATCAAAGTTTCTGACCTATATCATCTTTCTTTTCTTTAAAGAAGTTCTTTTGACATTTCTTGCAAGACAGGTCTACTGGCAACACATTCTTTCAATTTTTATTTGTCTGAGAAGATCTTCATTTCTCCTTTACTTTGAAGGACATTTTGCAGATACAGAATTCTAGTTTGTGGTGCTGTCCTCTCAACTTTAACTATTTCACTTTGTTCTCTTCTTGCTTGCATGGTATCTGAGGAGAGGTCAGATGAAATTCTTATCTTTGCTTCCCTATAGATAAGGTGTTTGCTTTGATTTTTCTGTAGTTTATATAATATGCTTGGGTGTAGCTTTTCTTGGGGGGGGGGAGTGCATTATTCTGCTTGGTGTTTTCTGAGCTTTCTGGATCTATGGTTTGGTGTCTGACATTAATTTGGGTGAAACTGTCAGTCATTAGTCCTTCAACTATTGCTTCTGTTCCTCTCTCTTCTCTTCAGGTATTCACAGTATGTAGGTTATACCTTTTGTAGTTGTCCCACCATTCTCCCCCCACTCCCCAGCCAGTATCTTTTTTTCTGTTTGCTTTTCAGCTTTGGAAGTTTCTACTGAGATATCCTCAAGCTAGAGATTCTTTCCTCAGCTATGTCCAGTCTACTAATGAGCCCATCAAAGGCATTTTTATCTCTGTAGATATTTTTTTATCTCTAGCATTTCTTTTTGATCTTAGAAATGTCATTTCTGCTTCCATTGCTCATCTGTTCTTGATGTTGTCTACTTTTTCCATTAGAGCCCTTAACATAGCAATCATGGTTGTTTTAAATTTCCATCTGATAATTCCAACGTTCCTGCCTGATTTTGCTGCTTGCTCAATTTGTGTTTGCTCTTTGATGTGCCCTGCAAGTTTTTGTTGAAAGCTGGGCATGATGTACCGGGTAGAAGAAACGTCTAAAGAGACCGTAGTGATGTGGTGGTAAAGGTGTGGGAGATGGGAAGTGTTTTATAGTCCTATGATCATGTCTCAGTATTTTAGTGAACCTGCGTCCCTGGACTGTGAACTTCACAGGTGCTTCTCAGTCCCCCCTCACCCTCCATCTTACTTAGGCGGGAGAGGATGGCTGGAGAGGGCTAGAATTGGATATTTCCCTTCCAGGTAGGTCATACTCTGATAGAACCCCAATAGGTTGGGCTCTGATAAATAGTTTCTACTGAGGGCAGATTTTGTTAAGAAGAACAGAATGCGCTGGCGTATTTCCACCCCATGGGAGGTGGAGGGAATTTTTCTCATGTTCTCTGTGAGGACCTGGTCAAGCTACTGGAGGTAAACCCCACAAACCTGTGGGGGTATCCCTGTGATTGGGTCACCCTGGAATTTTAAACTCTCAGGCTTGTCCACATAGAGACTCCAGCAATTCTTCAATGACAGTTCAGGTTTTCCTATCTAGTCCTCATTCCTGCAGAGGTTCCCACTCGTGGGTTTCTGGTCTGGCAAGTTGTTATTCTCTGCAGTCATCTGTCTGTCTCTCCCGTGTTTGGTTCAGGGTTGGCCCTGTGACCTCACTTCTCTGACGGATTTAAGAAGACTTGTTGATTCTTCAGTTTATTCAGCTTTTAAATTTGGTTTTCTGGTAGAGTGCTGACTTCCAAACTCCTTACAGGCCAGATTGGAAATGGGGATCTTGCTTTTACCACACCAAAGCTCATGTGCCTGACCCTTCAAAAGACCAAAACTCAAAATGTCAGAGTTTGGAATAAGGGAAGGTTCATTGACCAAGAAGGTGCCAGCCAAGAAGATGGGGGACCTAGTGGTATCTCAGATTCATCTTGCTCACTAGACTAGGTTAAAGTCTTTCAGGGGCTGGGGAGCAGTGTGCGGAAGTACTGGTGGGATATGTTTTAATTGGAGGAGCTTGGAATTTGGCCATTTGTAGTAAAGGGGCATCAACACTGGATCTTCCCGGACACGGAACACTTGGCTTCTAAAAGGGTCTAGTGTTCAAGTCCTGATTCTGTCCTGGTCCTCTGGTTCGGGGGGAGGGGGACTGAGACTTTGGTTCCAGGTGCAGCTAGAGGTCTATGTTCTCTCCCCTGCACATGCTTTAGCTGCATGACTTGCGGTTTTGGTTTGTTGTCTCTGAGAAGCAACCCAGTATCTCATTAAGCAGAACAGGAATGTTTAGAGCTGGCTCTGCATTCACATCACTATCATGTATGAACACCACGCGAAGTAAGCACTTTTTATATATTATCTCATTTAATCCTGACATCAGTCCTGTGCAGTAACACCATTATTCCATTTTGTAGAAGCAATTCTTGTGGTTAGGAGGAGTAAGTGACTCCCTCAAGGCCACACAGTAAGAAAGTAGGATTTGAATTTAGGTCTGTTTAATTTGGAAGCCTGTATGTGTCTCGCCCATCATGCCACCTCCCACAACTAAGCAGATTCTGACAGGGCTTGAGGCCCAGAGGCAGACACAAGTCAGGACTAGAAACGGGCTTAGGCCAAAAGGGAGGATGGGACCCAGAGGATATGAAAGTTCCCAGGGCTCATTCCTGGCAGGCAAGACACCAGGTCTCCAAAGGTAAGTGCTAAATCCTGATTCTGCCCCTTAGGGAAGTTACTTTACCTCCTCCAGCCTCCGATTCTTAGCAAATAGCCTAGGGCCTGGAAAATGGCAACTGCTAAAAAAAAAGGGGGGGAGGGGTTACTTTTGTCGATAGGTAGTAGTTATGTTGCCAGCTAGAATGCTGCAGGTGCTAATCCCTGTTTAGCCCTGGTCAGGTGAAATCAGAAACTGGAGAAGAGGCCAGAGCTGCCAGATTCCAGCTGGGGTAGCTGGGGGAGGTGAAGGCACTGGAGGAATCATTTCATTGACAAAGTTATAATGAGATACCCCACTCTGTCTTCCCCCGGGACACACTAGTTCCCTCCTCTTCCTGGCTCCTGCCCTGGCTGGCTGGCACCCAGTGCTTGAGAGGTTGACAGAACAATAGGATCGGTCCCTCCCTGGTGCCAGGTGTGCCACCTGGTGTAAGGGAGGAAAAACCTCCTGGATCCAGCACAGAGCCAACCCTGACGCTTCCTGGTCGACTCCAATGCCGGCTCTGATGACAGGAACTTCTGCTTCTGGTTAAGATGGAGTAACCGAGACTAGATTTACTCTCCCATCTGAAACATGAGTTTTGCTATCCAGCTGAGTATTAATCAACTAGAAATTGTATTAATCAACGTAGGTGTGGGGAAAGAACCACTCAAAAGGATAAGAGGGATTAGTGCTCAGAGTTCACACAAGGCTGGGAAACAGAGCCTATTCCCGACAGCCTGATAGTCAGAATAGAAAGTCTCATCATTCAAGGGGCATCCATTAGAGTACTAAGAAGGGTCTTGGCTGAGTCCTGAGGAAAAGTAATTCCATACTAGATGCAGCTCTGGCCCACCTAACAAAATAATCACACTGTTTCCAAGGAATTTAATGACTTCCCAGAACAAAACCCAAGCTTCTTTATAGAAATACAAAACAATTCAGAGCCCAACAAGGTAAAATCCAGTGTCTGCTATCCCAATCAACAATGACTAGCCCTAGCCCTAGGTTTGGCTCAGTGGACCGAAGGGTCTCGGTTTCAATTCCGGTCAAGGGCACGTACCTCGGTTGCAGGGATTGGTTGGGGTGCTTGCAGGAGGCAACCAATCAATGTGTCTCTCTCACATCCATATTTCTCTCACTGTGTCTCTCCATTCCCTTCCAATCTCTCTAAAAATAAATGGAAAAATATCCTAGGGTGAGGACTAACAACAGCAAAAAACACAAAGAAACAGGAAAATGCTACCCATAATGAAGAGATAATCAATCAGTTGAACTGATGGTACAATTAATAGATGGTAATATGAAAATGGGTGTATTTTGCCCTAACTGGTTTGGCTCAGATAGAGCGTCAGCCTGTGGACTGAAAGGTGCCAGATTCGATTCCGGTCAAGGGCATGTACCTTGGTTGCGGGCACATCCCCAGTAGGAGGGGTGCAGGAGGCAGCTGATCGATGTTTCTCTTTCATTGATGTTTCTAACTCTCTATCCCTCTCCCTTTTTCTCTGTAAAAAATCAGTAAAATATATTTTTTTAAAAAGAAAGAAAACGGGTGTATTTTATATGTTTAACGAGAAGAGAGATTGACTATGTAGAGACATGAAATAGCTAAATAAAAAAAAAGTTTAAAAAGTGGTACTTTTAATTTTAAATTTTTAAAAAATCCAAATATAAACTTCTAGAGATGGAAACTACAATGTTGGAGATATAAAATACAGTGGATGGAAATAACAGTAGATTAGACATTGCAAAAGATTAGTGAACTTGAAAAAATAGTTATAGAAACTGCAAAATGAAACATAGAGAAAAAAGACTTTAAAAAGCCAATAGTTTAGTGAACTGTGCTACAACTTCAAACAGCCAAATAGCGAGTTCAATAAAGCGGGGGTGAGGGAGGGAAGCAATAAAAGGCAAATAAGATTGGAAAAGAAGAAGTGAAACTATATTTACAGACATGATTGCTTGTCTAGAAAATCCTATGAGGTCTACAAAAAAGATACTAGAACTAATAAGTGAGTTTAGCAAGATAAATATACAAAACTCAATTATATTTCTATACATTAGCCACAAACAATCTGAAACTGAAATTTTTAAAAACTTCAGTGGATAAAAATATGAAATATTTAGGGATAAATCTGACTGTATACTAGTATATATGAGACCTATACACTGAAAATGATAAAATATTGCTAAGATAAGTTAGCACTGTCCACAAAAAGTTGATAAATTTGACTTTATCAGAATTAAAATTTACTGCTCTTAGACATTGTAAAGAAAATGAAATGAGAGCCACAGACTGGGAGAAAAGATTACATATTTGACAAGGGACTTGTTTGTAGATGACAACAAAAAATCTTACCAGTCATGCCCTGCTGGTGTGGCTCAGTTGGTTGAGTGCTGTCCCATGCACCAAAAGGTCGCAGGTTCGATTCCTGGTCAGGGCACATGCTGGGGTTGCAGGCTTGATCCTTAGCAGGGGCATGCAGGATGCAGCTGATAGATGTTTCTCTCTCACATCTATGTCTCTCTCTCCCTCCCTCCCACCTCTCTAAAATCAATAAAAACATATTAAAAACAAAACAAAACCTTACCAGTCAACACTGAGCAAACAAGCCAATTAAAATATGGACAGAGATTTTTTGGACAAAAATTTGAGCAGACACTTCACCAAAGAAAATATATGGATGCTAATAAAACCCCTCAATATCATAGTCATTAGGGAAATGCAAATTGAAACTACAGTATGTCACAGCCACAGATCTATTAGAATGTATCGAATTAACAAGACTTGACCACACCAAGCCTTGGTGAAGATGTGAAGCAGCTGGAAGTCTTAGATGTTGCTGGTGGGAGTGTCAAATGGTATTACCACTTTGGAAAAATAGTTTGGCAGTTTAATAAAAAGTTAAACATAACCCATGTTGTGACCCAGTCATTCCTCTCTTAATTATTTACCCAAGAGAATTGAAAGCATTACAAAAACTTGTACATGAATATTCATAGCAACTATATTTGTAATAGCCAACAACTGAAAACAGTCCAAGTCCCAGGACGAAGGAAAAAGAAAAAGGGGTTGGCCTGGGATTATTGAAATGGAGGTTTAAACAGGAGCCATGGAGGCCCTGGCCAGGTAGTTCAGTTGGTTAGACCACCATCCCAATACACCAAGGTTGTAGGTTGGATCCCTGGTCAGGGCACATGCAAGGAGAAACTAGCGAAAGCATAAATAAATGGAACAACAAATCAGTGTTTTTCTAGCAGATCAATAAATAAAAGTAAACAGGGGCCATGTGGAGTGTGGAGCTGGGGGGTCAGAGGCTCCTAGCTACAAATTATGACGGTGCAACTTGTGAGAATGGTGAGTTTGGGCAGATGGTTCCCTGCCCTCAGCGTCCTCATCTGTAAAAGGCCCAAAGCACAGTGGGTACAACCACGGTATCTGGAGCCATGGCTGGTAGGTCCTGGTCGGTCCTGGCGCTGCCACTTCCAGTGTGACTGGGGCAAGTGAATTTGCCTCTCCGGGCCTCAGATTCCTCATGTGTCAGATGGGCCCGGTGAGGACAGTCCCCGCTGCACCAGCTGTTGTGAGGATTGAAGGGCCCAGCTGCACATGTAGAGGTTTCCTGTGGGCTTTTCACCTAGTCAGTCTTTGCTTCCATCATCTTCTTCGTCCACCTCAGAGGGTGCTTGGGAGGCTTTCACAGGCTACTGGTGCAGGCACCATCGGATAATGACTGGGCAGAGTGACAGGTGCTCTGAATAAGGTGGTGGGAGGAGCAGTTGGTTGGGAGAAGGAAGGGTGTGGAAGCTCCTGCAGGAGGTGGCTTTTCTGGGCCTGGAAGGATGTGTAGAAGTTCCCCGGTAGAGAAGGCAGAAGGTAGAGAGATGAACTTGAGTGAGACAGCCTGAGCGTGTCTGGGGACCATGAAGCGGTTTCATGAGGCTGGATGTTTGGGGTGAGGGGCCAGGCATGAGGCCGCACAGGGGCACTGGGTCCAGATGGCAAAGGGCTCAGAGTGCGTTGCCTGAGGGTTTAAACTGGCTCCAGTAGGTGGGAGTTCCTATGCCTGTCTACATGGCAGAATCACCTGGGGGACTTTATAAAACACAGCTTCTGTGGCCCCATCCTGCAATATTCTGAATAGTAGGTCTCAGGCGGGACTCAGGAATCTATACTGTTTAAAGCTCCCCAAGAAATTCTGATGCCCACCCAGGTCTGGGAACCCCTGGCATAGGGAGAGAGTGTCTGTAAGCAGAGAGAGGCCCCACTGACATACCAACCCCGGATCTCCAGGATCTAAGCAAGAGCTTGGGAAGGTGAGGAGGGCATGTAAGAGTCCCCTGACTCTGACCCCCAGCCTTCCAGCCCTCTCCAGGGGAGTCCCACACTCAAAATGCCACATTGACTGCCAGAAAGTTTCTGCTAAAGTGATATGTTTATATTACGACCAACAATTGAAGACATATGAAAGCACATGTCCACCCAAAGGCTTGTAAGGGAAAGCTCATAACAAGTCTGTTTTTGTCGTAGCCCACGGTTGGAAACAACACTCATGTTCACAGGGGAGTGGATATATTCATACACTGGGGCACCACGCACAATGAGAAAGGACGAGCTATGGATACTTGCAACAGCATGGACAGGTGGCGAACAAGCTGGATGAAAGAAGCCAGAGCAAAAAAATAAATAAATGAAAGAGTTCATAATGTGCAGGGCTCCATTTCTAGGAAATTCTAGGAAATGCAAACTAATCTACGGTGCCAGAGAGCAGAGCCATGGTTACGTGGATGAAGGGTGGGGGAGAGATAAGAGGGAGGGGTGACCAAGGGGAATAAGCAAGTTTTGGGGGTGATAGATATCTGCCTTATCTTGGCGCTGCTGCTGGTTTCAAGTGTGTATACATGTGTCAAAACATCAAATAGTATCATTTAAACGTGTGCTGTTTATCGGGTGTCAATTACACCCCAACGAAGCCGCTTAAAGCTGATGCCAACTCTGCGCAGTCGCGCCAGTGTGGTCTTCACACAGCTCTCCCAGCATGTCCTCTTGCGAGTAGCCAGGGCACCGTGGAGGGTTACCATGCGCGCGGCACTGTCTGCTGAATGCTGGGTGGAATTTTTCATTTAACCTCACAGCAGCCCTGTGAGGTGGTGCTGTTGTTATTAACTGTTTTACATTTGAGGAAACTGAAGCTCAGAGAGGCTAAGTCACTTTCCCCAGGAAACGTCACCTGACTGAGTCCCAGCCCCAGCGTTCACCCCTCAAGCAAATGCTGGTCTGATCTGTTCTTATGATTATACAAACATTGCGATATTTACAGAAAATAAAACTAAAATAGCTTTTAATCAATCCTTGTACATCCTGAAAATCTTAACACATCTAAGGAGTTTTATTTTCCATGTTTTTATTTTTAAATCCATATGAGGGGAGTATTTTTACCGCTATAATTCAAAAATGTACATACAAATTTGTTTTCTCCCCCTCAACCTTACAACTTCTCATGTCATCTTATTGTCTTCTCCTTAAAGAACGAAAAGAAGAACAGCTTTCACATAGGTGATTTTTCTTTTTTCAGGCAAAGTCCTGAAAAGTGGGATGCAGGGCACAAAGTGTGATGTTTTTCCTGCTTATCCTGATCTAAAAAACACAACTCAACCTTTTCACTGTCTGGTGGAAGCGGTGTCTTCTTGGAACTCTAACCTGGACCCTGGAGTTGTCAGTTTTTACCACCAAGCACCCATTTTCCCCACGGCTCTAGGAAGGAGCTCACTTCCCAATATCAAGAATAGGTTCTGAAAAGAGAAAGAGTGGAAGGAAGGAAGGAAGGAAGGAAGGAGTTCCTGATAGTTTTTTTTTAATTTTTTATTTATTGATTTTAGAGAAAGAAACATCAATTTATTGTTCCAATTATTTGTGCATTCATTGGTTGCTTCTTGTATGTGCCCTGGCCAGGATGGAACCCACATCCTTGGTATATTAGGACGATGCTCTAACCAACTGAGCTACCCAACTAGGGCTCATACTCATTTGTTGAAAAGACTATGTTTTCCTATTGAATTAACTTGGTCCATTTATAAAAAATTAATTGATTACATATGTGTGGGTCTATTTCTGGACTCTTATATCCACTGATTAAATGTCTATCCTTACATCAATACTCAGTGTCTTGACTTTTATATTAAATCTTAATCAAACTTTGTTCTTTCTTTACAAAATTGTTTTCCCTATGCTAGCACCTTCACATTTTCATTTAAATCTTGGAATCAGCTTGTTAATTTCTACAAAGACATCATGCATGTGTCTTGATTGAGGTTTTATTGAACCTATAGATCAATTTGAGAAGAAGTAACATCTTAACAGTGTTGAGTCTTCCCATCCATGAACATGCTGTATCTTTCTATCATACAATTTCTCTCAGTAATGTTTTATTGTTTCCAGGAACAATATTGGTTTTTAAAATATATTCACAAGCTATTTGTTGCACCTTCCTTGTAGAGGTGCAGACTAATTCCCCTCCCCCTGAGAACAGGCTGGACTTAGTTCCTTGACTTGCTGTAGCAGGTAGAATAAAGCAAATTGACCGTGTGGGGCCTCAGAGACCAGTTACAGAAAGCTGTGGCTTTCTGATTGGGTCGCCCTTTCTCTCCTGGCTCATTCCCTGTGGGAGAAGCCAGCTGCTATGTTAGGAGCATTCCTATGGAGACTGAGGCCTCCTGCTAACAGCCACATCAAGCTTTCACATGATCGCAGCTTTGGCTAACATCTGGGTTGCAACCTCATGAGAGACCTTGAGCTAGAAGCACTCAGACAAACTGCTCATGAATTCCTGGTCCATGGAAACTGAGCTAGTGAATGTTTGTTGTTCTAAACCACTAAGTTTGGGATGATTTGTTACACAGCAATAGATAACTAACACACATCTTGCATCTATTTTGTTAAATGTATCACTAAAGTATTTAATGTTTCTTTGATGCAGTTTTAAAATATTTTTTTAAATTTCAGTGTCCAGTTGTTTATTTGCTAGTGTGTAGAAATATAATTGGATTCAGAATATTGACTGTATCCTGGGACCTTGCTAAACTCAGTTCTGTTAGCTTTTAGAAGCTGTAATTTGATGAGTTTGGAAACCGCTGTGGTAGTCCTCAATTCCTGGTTTGGGAGCATGCTGCTCCTATTCTGCAGTCTACTTTTAACAAAGCAAGTTCTTGTTCATTCTAAGTCTGTGATCTTTCCCCTCCACACTAGGAACCGTTAGGACCACCAGTAGCAGGAGTTCATGGACTTTTCCTCTTACAGCTCAAGATGAACACAACAACGTGACTCCCACCCCAGTTCGCTTCACCTCACTCTGCTGGCTAATTTCTCTTTTCAATCACTCGGACAGGCTCAGGTCTCTGGACTTCTTCAGAGTGTGACTTCTTGCTTCCATTTTTCTGTCATGTTTTTCCATGTTTCTCTGTTGAATTTCTCAAGTGTGACCATCTGGTTTGGACCATTTCATCTTTTCCCTCCATGTCTTTGGTTGCCAAGAAACCCTAACTAGGTGGTCAGGTCCTCCCTTATTCTAGTTGGTTCTCCACTAAGGACAGGTTCCATGGTCCAAATGTACCTACTTTGTCTTTGGGGGTTGGGGACAGAGCAATCTCCCTTGACAAATGTATGATGAGTGGGCCCTGTGATGGACACCTCATATGAAATGGACATCTCTCATGCATACCTCCAACCCTTAGCTCTGCCTCCTCCTTGAATCACTCTGTGACCCTATCATTGCTCCTCCTGTAATCTGTGAGAGAAACCAAACCCCATTTATAGAATTCAACATTTCTGTACTTGGTATTGATTATCTCCCTCCTCCTTTCCAAGCTCTCTCACCCCCTTCTGTACTCTTTACAGTCAGAACTGAAAGGCCCAGAGAAATCATGCACTCCAATCCAGGCACTTAGCAGGTGAGAAAACTGTGGCCTGCAGAGCTCATGTTCGTATAGAGGCAAAATATCAATATAGGCCTCCTATTTTCCCAAGTTAGTGTTTTCCCCTGTAAGTAGTACTTGGTCCCAGCAGGCATGCCCACCTCCCACTGTGGTCTGATGGGCAGAGACACTTGTGCTGCAGTCCAATGGAGGAGCAGGTGGCAACTGTGACCCAGACAAGGCTGTGGGTGGCAGGGGTCCCATCCCACCCAGAGTCAGGCTTTTGGGCTTAGTGGATGAGGGCCTGGAAGTCTAGTCCAGGTTTGGCTAAGAAATAGAGATACAGAGGCAGGGGACTGGCTGAGTTGGAGCCAGACCAATAAACCAAGACTAGTTTTCTGTGCCTGCTGTAGCAAATTTCCACACACTGGGTTCCTTAAAGCAATAGAACATGTGTTCTCTCCGGGTTTTGTAGTTTGGAATTCTGAAAGCAAGCTGTTGGCAGGGCTCCGCTCCCTCCCTGGACTCTGGGGAAGAATTTGTTCCTTGCTTCTTCCAGCATCTGATGGCTGCAGGTGTTCCTGGCTTGTGGCCACATCACTCCGATCTCTGCCTCTTCTTCACATCTCCTTCTTCTCTATGAACGTATGTCTTCTCCTCTCTTTGTCTGTCTCTCTGCCTCTCTTTTGTAAGAACACTGGTAGAGAACCAGGATGGTGTGCAGGTAAACACCGGTACTCACCGCCTCCCACAACCACATCAAAATTACAACTAAAATACAGAACAACAATCATTCAGTGCTGCCTGAAATCTGGCTGAATGAAGTCCTACAACTAGAGAAGTAAAGAAGAAAGCATACCCCGCCAGTGTGGCTCAGTGGTTGAATATGAACATCTGAACCAGGAGATCATGGTTTAATTCCTGGTCAGGGTACATGCCTGGGTTTGGGGCTTGATCAATGATTCTTTCTCATCATTAATGTTTCCATCTCTCTTCCTCTCTGAAATCAATAAAAATATAATTTTTTTAAAAAAGAAGAAAACACATTGAGACTGGTATGAGATGCAGAATGAGCCGGTCTGACACCTACGTGTGGCGTTTTTTTTGTTTGTTTGTTTTGTTTTTTACCAGGAGGGATATCTGCACTATAGAGGGAACCCTATCCCACACCAGCCCTCCAGCCCAGGGTTCTAGAATGGTGAAGAGATTCCTCTGTAACTTTGGGCTGAACAACCAGTGGGGATTGTGGCTGACTGACACGGAGGCTGCTGGAGACCCAGGCAGTTCCTCTTGAAGGGCAACACATGGACTTACTCTAACTCCCTCCCTCTGGGCTCTAGCACTGGGTGGCTGCTTTGGGGGATTCAGGGACATATGGGGAGGAACTAGATTATCTGGCAGCAGGGCAGAAACTCAGGGGTAGCTTTCTCCCAGATAGGGTTGCTCACAAGAGTCATTGTTCCTATGCTGGGACCTCCCCCATTGCAGAGCTCAGTGGCAGCCATATACGAGTTTCCATTACCCTGCTTCACACAGTTTGCTCCATATTGGTGATTCCCTGAGACCCTGTCACATCCAATTTGCAGTCCCACCCAAGCTGTTTGCAGCAGCTTTTACATATGAATGGCCTATCTTGGCTCAGGCTTCAGACTTTTCTAAAATCTCTAAAACAAGCAGCAACTGGAGTCAGCATGCCCCAAACCTATCAATAAGAGTTCCAAGACCTGGCATTAGCACCAACCTGCCTTGCTTCACAGCTTGGCCTCACCCTGGCCCTTCCAAGCCCAATACAAGTAGCAGCCATCTGCAGATCCTCTGTAGCTCCTTCTGAGTAGCTCCAGGCAGTGGCTAACTTTGCACCTCCTGGGAGACCCCATAACCAGTGTACCTGATGGACAACTTCAGACCATACAAGATTACAACTCTACACATCCACAAGTGACACACTCAAGGGGCAGACTCAGTGAACACCAAAGCCCCACTGAAGCAATCCTGCTCCATAGGGATGTCTCTTGCACAGTAGCTATTCATTTAGCCATAGCTGGTCCTCACAGCCACTTGGCCTGGATATCAATTCCTTCCATTGATGCCAACAGCAATCAAGGCTCAACTACAAGATAGTGCACACAGCCCACAAAGGGGCACACTTAGAGTACCCACTTCAGGTGACTGCCGTGGCTGAGCCACGGGGTCCTACAGGACACCTACTACACAAGACCGCCACTCTACCAATTCCAGGAGACATAGCAGCTCTACCTAATACATAGAAACAAACACAGAGACACTGCCAAAATGTGGAGACAAAGAAACATGTGAAAGAACAGAAGAAATCTCCAGAAAAACTACTAAATGAAATGGAAGCAAGCAAACTACTAGATACAAAGCTCAAAACAATAGTTATAAGGTTGATCTTAAAGAGAGCCTCAAGAGACTTAAGAATATCAAGGAAATCAGTGAGAGCATCAAAGACATAAAAAAGAGCCAGTGAAGGGTACACTAACTGAAATGAATAATTTATAGGGAATCAACAGTACAGTAGAGGCTGCCAAGAATCAAATCAGCAATTTGGAATATGAGGAAGCAAAAAACACCCAACCAGAAGAGAAAAAAGAAAAAATAATCAAAAAATATTAAGATAGTGTAAGGAGCCTCTGGGACAACTTCAAGCATATCAACAATCACATCATGAGGGTGCCAGAAGAAGAGAGAGAGCAAGACATTGGAAACCTATTTGAAGAAATAATGACAGAAAACTTCCCCTACCTGGTGAAAGAAATAGACTTACAAGTTCAGGAAGAACAGAGTCCCAAACAAGAGGAACCCAAAGAGGTCCATACTAAGGCACATCATAATTAAAATGCCAAGGGTTAAAGACAAAGAGAGAATCTTAAAAGTATCAAGAGAGTAAGAGTTAGTTACCTAGAAGGGAGCACCCATACAACTTTCAGCTGATTTCTCAACAGAAACTTTGCAGGCCAGAAGGGAGTGGCAAGAAATACTCAAAGTGATGAATAGCAAGGACTACAACCAAGATTACTCTACCCAGCAAAGCTACCATTTAGAATTGAAGGTCAGAGAAAGAGCTTCACAGATAAGAAAAAGCTAAAGGAATTCATCACCACCAAACCAGTATTTCATGAAATGTTGAAAGGTATTCTAGAAGAAGGAGAAGAAGAAGGAGGAGGAGGAGGAGGAGGAGGAGAAAATATGAACAATAAAATGGCAATACATTCCTATCTATCATCAATTAAATCTAAAAATCAAAATAAACAAACAAGAAATCTAATGAACAAAATAAACTGATGAATAAAATAGAACCAGAGGCATGGAAATGTGGAACAGTATGATGAGTCTCAGAGGGAAGTGGGGGGTGGGAGGAGATTAACCAAAGATCTTACCTATGGATATAGACAGTAGGTTGGTGAAGGCCTGGGGTAGAACAGGAACCAGATGAAGGGGGGCAGTGGAGGGGAAAAGGGACATCTGTAATACACTCAACAATAAAGATTTAAATAATTTTTAAAAAGAGAATCATTTTTTAAAAAAAGAACATTTGTGTGATAGCAGGTATGGCTCAGTTAGTTGGAGTATTATCCTGTGCACCAAAGGGTCACTGGTTCAATTACCAGCCAATTACAAATCAATAATAAATAAATAAATAAATAAATAAATAAATAAATACCTTTGTGATGGCATTTGGGCCCACCTGGACAACTCATGTTATGCTCCTCCTCTCAACATCTTTAACTGAATCATATTTCCCCTCCCATATAAGGTGGATATCTTTTGGGATACCACTTTTGGTTTACTGCAGATCTTACCAGCCCACACCACTACTCTCCTTTCAATGTCCTCTGAACTGTGGGGGAAGGAGTGGCAGGCCAGGATTCCTTCTTTAGTCCTCCTGGGAGTAGAGGGGAAACAGGAAGTTGTCAAGAGAAAGAACAATTATGGTCTCCCTATTTATTTATTTATTTTAAAAATATATATTTTAAAATATATTTTATTGACTTCAGAGAAGAAGGAGAGGGGGAGTGCTGGGGTCCCACCCCAGTAGGTCCAGGGGTCCTCAAAGGTGTGGACGGAGTCAGCGAAGAAGGAATGACACAGAGGCAGCATTCAGTTGATCAGCATGGTTGGGTTCTCTTGCCTGGTTCTATTGCCAGGTTCTGTATGTTCTCCAGCCAGGTTCTGTCTCTAGGTTGTGGTCAGGTTCTCTTGCCATGTTGTAGCCAGGTTCTGTAGCCAGGTTCTGTCTCTAGGTTCTTCAGCCAGGTTCTCTCGCTAGGTTCTGTCTCTAGGTTCTGTGGCCAGTTTCTGTCCAGGATCTTTTGCCATGTTCTCTCCAGCGAAGTTCTTTTGTCTCTAGGTTCTGTGTCTAGGTTCTGAGTTTAGGTTCTGTGTCTAGGTTCTGTCTTCTAAGTTCTGTCTCCTGTTGTCTTGTTACATCGGTATTTATACCAGTTGATTCAATCCTATCAATCTCTATTCCAAAGGTTAGGGCATTTCTTATCTCCATTCCAGGGAGTAAAGATTATGTAGCTTAAGCATGATTGTTCGTAGTTAAAGTGATTAATTACCCACCTGGCACTTAGTTAAGGGGTATTATTCCCTCCCTAACTTCAGGGGAAAATCCCTACCTGGGGAAACAACCTTTCTCAGAGAGGTGACCTTGGTTAAAACACATAGTGCCAAGAAGGTGAGCAAACATATTAAGAACAGTATGCCATATATGCCAGGTCCCTTGAAACAGCAAGGATGGACTGGCTCCTGGCAGGGGAGAGAGAGAGAAAAACATCAATGATGAGAGAGAATCATTGATCAGCTGCCTCTTGCCTGTTCCACACTGGGGATAGAGCCCGCAACCCAGGCATGTGCCCTGACCAGGAATTGAACTATGACCTCCTGACTCATAAGTTAATGTTTAACCATCCAGCCATGCCAGCCAGCCTTGAAATATTTTTTTTTATTGATTTCAGAGAGGAAGGGAGAGGGAGAGACAGATAAAAACATCAATGATGAGAGAGAATCATTGATTGCTTGCTTCCTGCATGACCCCCATTGGGGGTTGAGCCTGCAACCTGGGCATGTGCCCTGATTGGAATCAAACTGGTTCATAGGTCGATGCTCAACCACTGAGCAATGCCACTACTTATTTAGACACTATATTAGCTTGGGCGGCCATAACAAAATACCACAGGCCAGGTGGCTTAAACAACAGACGTGCATTTTCTCATAGTTCTGGAGGGTAGACCTTTGAGATTGAAACCAAGGGACCTTATGACTGATTATATTTAGCTTTAAATCCTACCTAGCCTTTCCCCAGGATCATCAGCAACCCCCAAGGCAGCAGAAGACATTGCCCGGACCTGACTAATGATCACAAGATACAGACCCCTGGCCGGCTAAAGATAACCTGTTGACCTAAGTTATGTTTCAGCAACTGAGCCCAAGGTGGAATGACCCCCTGGCTACTTTTCCACGAGACAAGACAGAGGGACTCCAGAACAGACCTCTGAACTGTCCTCAAGATCTGAAGAAATGATTTATTACCCTTACTCATCTCCGACCAATCAGCTCCCAACAGGACGCTGAAGCCTTTACCCTTGGTGACTTGGAAGATTTGGCCTGTATAGCTGTATCTTATGTGCCATCAGAGAGTTTGGGCTTCTGAGCATTAGCTTCCTGTTCTCCTGGATGGCGGCATTCATAATAAAATAGCCAATATTTCTCCACTGCAATTCTTGATGTTTAGGATTTGGCTCTGCTAGTGCCAGGTGGGTGAACTCTTTCTGTGTGATAACAAATTCAAGGTGCCAAGGTAGTCCATTTCTGGTGAGAGTCCTTTTCCTGATGTATAGATCTGCCTTCTTGCTATGTCCCCACATGGCCTTCCCTCTGTGTGTAGAGGTCAGGGGGTAGCACGCTCATGAGCTGACTTTTCTTATAAGGACACGAATCCTATCAGATCAGGACCCCACCCTTCTGATTTCATTTAACTTTAGTTACTTCCTTAGTGGCCCCATCTCCAAATACACTCACACTAGGAGTCAGGACTCCAACATATAAACTTGGGAAGGATATAAATATTCACTCCATAATAGACTCTTTTGCTTATGTTCTTATTGAGTCATATCTATATTATCAGGTAAGGATTAATATTCTTATATTCCAGGTGAGACAACAAGCTCATAGAAGAGGTAATTCACTATCAGAGTCAGGAGTCAAAGTCAGGTTGGTCTGGCTCTGACGTCCAAGCTAAATGCATTGTCCTGGGCTCTACTGGGAACTCCCCAGCTAAGCTTCTGGCTAGTAGAACCTGCACAGGCTGCTCTCATTGCCGCTGCCTTCCACAGTGCACTCAGACTGCACAGCCTCCTTACAGCAGTGCCCCATCTTCAGCACTCATGGCTCCCAGGTGTCTTTTTTTTTTTTTTTTAAATATATTTCATTGATTTTTTACAGAGAGGAAGGGAGAGAGAGAGTTAGAAACATCGATGAGAGAGGAACATCGATCAGCTGCCTCCTGCACATCTCCCACTGGGGATGTGCCCGCAACCCAGGTACATGCCCTTGACCGGAATCGAACCTGGGACCTTTCAGTCCGCAGGCCGACGCTCTATCCACTGAGCCAAACCGGTTTCGGCGGCTCCCAGGTGTCTTGAGGAAGGCAGTGACCAGGAGTAAGGCAGGGGCTCTGGAGTTGGTCTTCCCTGTGTGTACACTGGCTTGAGCCATGCAAGGTGGGAGGATGGTCTGAGGAGAATGACCTGGGAGGGGCCATGGAGGAAGCCCTTGTCTCCAGTGAGCCAGGAAGACTTTAGATGGGCTGCAAGCAGGACAAATCAGCACAGCCTCCATGAGTGACCTCTGGCAGTCTGTTCCACAGTCTCAGCTTCCTCATCTGTCAGGTGGTCGTGGGTGTTCAGTCCATCTGTAAGATATGTTCCAGTCCTGAACTTCTATGATATAAAATACTGCCACATCGACAAAAGCCCTCATGTTTGCACAGCCCTGGAGGAGGGGGCTGGGGACCAAAAAATATTAATACTTTTCCTCCCGCCTTCTATGTGCTTTTGGCGGGCTAATAACCAAATTAACAGAGACAGATTAACAGGAGAAAATAAAAGTTTAATACATGCACATGGGGAAGTCACATAGACATTATGAATCCATGAAAACTCCAAAGACAATGAGGCATATTGGGTGTATAAGATATATATATATATATATAATTTCAGAGAGGAAGGGGGGAGAGGGAGAGGAGATAGAAACATCAATGATGGGAGGGAATAATTAATTGACTGCCTCCTACATACACTCTACTGGGGATCCAGCCCACAACCTGGGCATGTGCCCTGACTGGGAATCGAACCATGACATCCTGCTTCATAGGTTGATGCTCAACCACTGAGCCCCCGCAGCTGGGCATATAAGACATTTTTGGACAAAGGAGGAAGGGGGAGCAGGGTATTAGGTTTCAGAAGTAAGATGGGTGATTTACAGGTCGTTGAGGAAGAGCAGGAAAATCCTTGCTAGGACACTCACACAAGGGGCACAGGGAGTGCCTCGCTAACAAGCACCTGCCTGAAGAAGCTCCCTTGTTTACCACACTTAATTCTAATAAAGCTGAGAGGGCACCCTAAGATCTCCTTCCTCTAGAACAGTGGTTCTCAACCTTCCTAATGCCGCGACCCTTTAATACAGTTCCTCATGTTGGGGTGACCCCCAACCATAAAATTATTTTCGTTGCTACTTCAGAACTGTAATTTTGCTACTGTTAAGAATCGTAATGTAAATATCTGATATGCAGGATGTATTTTCATTGTTACAAATTGAACATAATTAAAGCATAGTGATTAATCACAAAAACAATATGTAATTATATATGTGTTTTCTGATGGTCTTAGGCAACCCCTGTGAAAGGGTCGTTCAACCCCCAAAGGGGAATCTCTTGTATAGGAAAGGGGGGAGGGTCCAAGGTTCTGAGTCTTTTCTTTATCTCTTTTTTTTAAAATATTTTTTTCATTGATTTTAGACAGAGAGGAAGGGAGAGGGAGAGAGAGGTAGAAACATCAGTGAGAAACATCAATTGGTTGCCTCCTGCATGCCCCTCCCCAACACTGGGGATAGAGTCCACATCATGGGCATATGCCCCGATGGGGAATCGAACCAATGACCCCTTGTTCATGGGATGACACTCCTGGCCTGAGTCCCTTATCTATATATATAAAAGCCTAAGTGATCTTTTTGACTGGACGACCACCCTGTAGCTATGATGTGCACTAACCACTAGGGGGCAGATGCTCAATGCAGGAGCTGCCCCCTGGCAGTCAGTGCACTCCCACAGCCAACCTCCCATGGCCAGCCTACCTCCCACGGTCCCTTCCCCAGCCAACCAGCCCCCATCAGCCCCAATCAGGACTGGGTGAGATGGCCCCAATCGGCCCTGATCACCAGCCAGGCAGAGGGACCCCACCCGTGCACGAATTCGTGCACCAGGCCTCTAGTCTTATCTAATAATAGAGAAACATGGTAATTAGCCGTAACTTCGCTACCCTTCCCATTGGCTAATCAGGGTGATATGCAAATTAACTTCCAACTAAGATGGCGGTTAACCGCCAACAAAGATGGTGGTTAATTTGCATATGTAGGCACAATGCTGGGAGGCGAAAGGGGAAGGACGGAAGAAGCCCCCTGCCACTGACGGTGATCGGAAACCCAGGGGTGAGCTAAGAGCCGGGGGGCAGGGCAAAGGCGGCCCTAGGGGCTGCCTTTGACCGGCCCCCCAGCCGTGATTGGAGAACTGGGCGCCTTTGCAGCCCCCCAGCCAGTTATAGTGAGAAGCAGGGGTGGAGCCAGCGATGGGAGCTGGGCAGGGAGGAGCCAGCAGTCCGGGGAGCTAGGGGTCCCTTGCCCAGGCCTAAAGCCTTAGCTACAGACGTTAGGCCTGGGCAGGGGTGGAGCCTGCAATTGCGGGGAGCTGGGGGTCCCCTGCCAAGGCCTAACACCTTGGCCAGAGGCATTAGGTCTAGGCAGGGGCAGAGTCAGCAATCATAGGGAGCTGGGGGTTAGGCCAGAGGCATTAGGCTTGGGCAAGGGCGGAACCAGCCATTGCAGGGAGCAGGGGCAGAGTCAGTGATCGTGGGCAGCTGGGCAGGGGCAGAGCCTGCAATCGCGGGGAGCTTGGGGTCCCCTGCTCAGGCCTAATGCCTTGGCCAGAGGCGTTAGGTCTAGGCAGGGGTGGAGTCAGCGATCTTAGGGAGCTGGGGGTCACCTGCCCAGGACTAATGCCTCCACCAGAGGCCTTAGGTCTGGGCAGAGGTGGTGCCAGAGATTGTGGATAGCAGGGGCAGAGCCAGGGATGGTGGGAGCTGGGGGTCCCCTGCCCAGGCCCAATGCCTTGGCCAGAGGCGTTAGGCCTGTGCAGGGGTGGAACCAGCTATAGCGGGGAGCAGGGGCGAAGTCAGTGATTGTGGGCAGGGGCAGAGCTGGCAATTGCGGGGAGCTTGGGGTCCCCTGTCCAGGCCTAATGCCTTTGCCAGAGGCGTTAGGTTGGGCAGGGGCAGAGCCAGCGATCATGGGCAGCAGGGGCTGAGCTGATGATTGAGGGAGCTGGAGGTCCCCTGCCCAGGGCTAATGACTCAGCTGAAGGCGTTAGGCCTGGACAGGGGCCAAGCCAGCAATTGGTGTGAACTACAGAGGAAACACCTTTTCTGACGGCTCATTGGCTTAGCTCCCTGTATGCCACTGGTAATATTCTTAGTAACTTGGGTAATAAGAATCCAAATAGGTGATCTAGGGTTGTTTTTTTTTACCACACTCCTGGAGAAAAAAAGGAAGGTCCGCTGCTGTAGGGCTAAGAAATGTCATATCCTGCCCTAGCTGGTTTTACTCAGTGGATAATGCCGTGGCCTGCTCACTGCTGGGTCTGGGTTCAATTCTGACCAAGGGCATGTACCTAGGTTGCAGGCTCCTCCCTGGCCTGGGCCCAGGTCAGGGCTCATGCAGGAGGCAACCAATCAAAGTGTTCCTCTCACTTTGATGTTTCTCTCTGTCTTTCCCTTTCTCTTCCACATTCTCTAAAAATCAATGGAAACATATCCTCAGGTGAGGAGAAAGGAAAGGAAGAAAGAAAGAAAGAAAGAAAGAAAGAAAGAAAGAAAGAAAGAAAGAAAGAAAGGGAGAGAGGAGGGAGGGAGGGAGGGAGGGAAGGAAGGAAGGAAGGAAAGAAGGAAGGAAGGAAGGAAGGAAGGAAGGAAGGAAGGAAGGAAGAGAAGGAAGGAAGGAAGGAAGGAAGGAAAGAGAGAAAGAAAGAAAAAGAAAGAAAGAAAGGAAGGAAGGAAGAAGGAAGGAAGGAAGAAGGAAGGAAGGAAGGAAGGAAGGAAGGAAGGAAGGAAGGAAGGAAGAAAGAAAGAGAAAGGAAGGAAGGAAGAAAGAAAGAAAGAGAAAGGAAGGAAGGAAGGAAGGTCATATCCTATGAAAGACACATCTTGAAAATGCCTAAAGAAAGTTGTCATTTTTTCATGGTAAAGGGACTGGAGTCCATGTTGATGAAAACACCTTGGTGGCTGCGGTGACTGGCAGTGGCTGCAACAGCGGGGTGATGGGGCTGGTGCCTTCCCCTGATCAGCCCAGTCGCCTCCCACAAAGGGAGGCCAGACTGTGGCTTAGGCCCGCTCCCCAAGGGGAGCAGGGAGCAGGGAGTAGGACATCCCCTGAGGGCTCCCAATATGTGATAGGGGGCAAGCTGGGC